GGCCAATCCTTCAAGTCATGTAGGTTGCGAGGTGGCCACCGTGCATCAAACTTTTTGGTCCAGTGCATCCCAAAGTGCTCAATTGGATTGAAATCTGGGCAATGTGGAGGCCAAGGAAACACCTTGAACTCTACATTCCTCAAATCATTCCAGAGCAATGTGTGCTTTGTGGCAGGATGCATTATCCTGCTGAAAGAGGCCACAGCCACCAGGGAATACCATTTCCATGTGCATGGTCTGCAACAATGCTTAGGTAGGTGGTACGTGTCAAAGTAACATCTACATGGATGGCAGGACCCAAGGTTTCCCAGCAGAACATTGCCCAAAGCATCACACTGCCTCTGCCGCTTGCCTTCTTCCCATAGTGCATCCTGGTGCCATGTGTTCCCCAGGTAAGCAACGCCAACGCACCCGGCCATCCACGTGATGTAAAAGAAAACATGATTTATCAGACCAGTCCACCTTCTTCGATTGCTCCGAGGTCCAGTTCTGATGCTCACGTGCCCACTGTTGGCACCTTCAGTGGTGGACAGGGGTCAGCATGGGCACCCAGAATGGTCTGCGGCTATGCATCCCCATTAGCAACAAACTGTGATGCACTGTGTTTTCTGACACCTTTCCATCAGAACCAGCATTACCTTCTTGAACAATCTGAGCTACAGTAGCTCATCAATGAGCCTTGGCCGCCCATGACCCTGTCGCCGGTTCACCACTGTTCCTTCCTTGTACCACTTTTGATAGATACTGACCACTGCAGACCGGGAACCCCCACAAGAGCTGCAGTTTTGGAGATGCTCTGACCTAGCCATCACAATTTGGCCCTTGTCAAACTCGCTCAAATCTTTATGCTAGCCCATTTTTCCTGCTTCTAACATCAAATTTGAGCACAAAATGTTCACTTGCTGCCTATTTGACCTGTTTCACCTGTCAGTAGTCATAATGCTATGTCTGATTGGTGTGTATATATATATATATATATATATATATATATATACACGTGTGCTTAATTTATTTGTTCATATGGCAAAATAGCAATATCGTGAAATATTGTTACACTTTAAAAGAACTGTTTGTTGTTTTAATATATTTTAAAATGTAATTTATTCCCGTAATGCTAAGCTGAATTTTTAGCAGCCATTATTCCAGGCTTCAGTGTCACATGTTCCTTCAGAAATCATTCTAATTTACTGATTTGATGCTCAAGAAACGTTTAATTGCCTAATATTTCTGTAGAAACTGTGATACATTTTTCTCAAGATTCTTTGATGTATGGAATGTTCAAAAGTTAAAAAAATATTACAGACCTCAAACTTTATGTTAGTGTATATGTCATATTCTGTATAATAGAATCAAATCTTATTTTGATACTTAAACTATAATGTGGCACCATGATGATTAAGTTGTATATGACTTTGCCATAAGCATGCTGAAAGGCCACAGAAGTGAGCAGCCCTTCTAAGAATAGAACTATAAAATGCTAAAATAAAAATAGGACAAAAACCACTGCAAGCTGGAAATGACATTAGCCGCCTGGGTATTTACAAAGTGATGCTAAACCATCTCTAATCTCTCAACCTAACTTGTTATTCACTAAATCTCTTCACATTAACCTTAGAAAGTCTTTCTTAGCCGACTGTACTTGCTAGTATCAGATGTCAATGTTCTATAAATACAGATCGATCTGCATTTCTGGGCAGTATGATTTTCCAAAATGCAAACAGCCGCGCAGGCCTACTGATTCTTCATCTAATGCTGCATGCTGCCTCCATCAAAGAGAATATTTAATTCATGAATATTACATTGGAGAAATATAGAGCAGTGGTGCTTCATACGGCATGTGGCTCAAGCTCACACAGCATACTGATGCTTGTGAAATCCAGCACTCGTTTACTCTCATTTTTTAAGAGAGAACATGCAAGTCAAACAGAATAACAAATGCATTTGTCTGGGTAGTAAAGAGAGAGATAGATACCTTCATTGTGTGAATACAGAGTTATTGTACCAGCCCCTAATGATCTGAAACAGTCCAGGGTTCCACACTTGCACTTAGCTGGAGCTATTTAGACTGAAAAGGTCTATTTTTGGATTTGCATCTGAGCACATTCTCACAATTTAAATGTCTCTCATCTAGCAAAGACTATTTCGCATTGGCACATGCCAACATGCTCTGCTTATGGTCCCATTACAAACTAGTAAATTTGTCCCCCCCCCTGTCCAAACAATTTAAATAAATCCCCCAAATTAGGCTTTGATTGGTTCATCACGGCAGAATCATCTGAATTTATTCATTGAATATTGATTGAATACAGGGGAAGGTGTTTCTGGAGACATGCAGAGCAAAGCAAACATTTAAATAATTTTATTGTCATCAGTTAATCCAACACATTTTTTGCACTTAGTACAAATTACACAACCTGAGATGAAGCAAGACGGTAAAGGAATGAAAGAAAACATGGCTAAGGAGCGCTACTTCATGGACCACGATGGAACCCAGACATCATGAGACATGTTTTCTAGGTCTAATTGAATAAAGAAAAAAGTGCAGTTATTACCTGTCTCTGTTTTCAAGAGTGGTGGTTTAAAAAAGAAAAAAGGAAAAAAGGTTAATAATAGTTAAAATAACTCAAAAACGTGAGAAGCGTTTTAGCAAGCTCAAGACCCTTGTGAAAAAGAAGTGCATTTAGCATACTTTTAAAAAGAGTACTTGTTAAAAAAAATTCTATACTTTAAAGGGGTCATCGGATGCCCATTTTCCACAAGTTGATATGATTCTTTAGGGTCTTAATGAAAATTCTGTAACATAGTTTGGTTAAAATTTCTCAATGGTAGTGTAAAAAACACCTTTTCACCCTGTCAAAAACAGCTCTTTTCAGAGCAAGTTGTTTTCTTGCATGCTGCTTTAAATGCAAATGAGCTCTGCTCGCCTCGCCCCTCTCTTCCGAGCCGCCATCTGAGAGACGGTAAACTTTAGCCGCATTCATCGTGAAACTTGCTAACTAGCACATTATTAGGAAAGGCGATTTGTAAAGATTAATTAAAACACCTTACACTCACTTCTGGACGTGAAGCTGGATCAAGAAAGATTTGCGCGAACAAAAGGGGGAAATGATTTAACGAGATTAAAAAAAAACACTGGGTGGATCTTTATCATTATAGGGTGGTTGTGTACACACACTGCCAACACACATTTCAGTTCAAACAGCTTGTAAAAGTGCATGTGGCATCCGATGACCCCTTTAAAATAAATTACTTAAAGAGATGGTACTCCCCAAAAATGTAAATGTCATCATTTACTCACCCTCACGTCTTTCCAAACCTGTATGCATTTCTTTCTTTTGCTGAACACAAAAGGTATTTTGAAGAACGTTGGTAACCAAACAGTTTCCTATACTGACTTCAAATGCCTAGCTTTAGATATGGGTATGATGACAGAATTTCCATATTTGTGTGGACTATCCCTTTAAGTGGCCTTTTATTAATATTACATTATCTGCAAGTACATTTAAACAAAAATACACATTCAGGATATGAAGTACAAGTGCACATTCAATACAATGAAGTGCACTTCTTTTTCACAAGGGGAGCTACTCTACTCTCTAGCCAGTTACAGCTTTTAACAACACACAAATCAAAAACAAAAGCAACACATTTCATGCAAAACATGTCCTATTATAGCTTGGATTGCAAATATTCACCTTCAGTGTCTCTGTGTTTTACAGGAAAACCACAACTAAATTCAAGACAGCTACACTGGGCTTCACTCTAGCAGTAAATTAAAAGAAGCTCTACATTTTCAAAGACCTGCCACTGACCATCATTGAATAAGGAAATATGACTGAACTGAAGGGCTGTACTGGCAATTTTCCAAACTTATACATTTTCTGTTAAATTGTTGTGAACAGTCTGCAGAAATCCAGATTTAATGTATGATACCATTGAAAATGGGAAAAACTGAGGAATTTTAGACCCAGAAATAGAACAAGTGTATAGGTCAGTCTACCTGCCATTGTTGCAGCCCACCCCCCATACATGGATGTTGATTATGGGCTGACAATGTATGAGGCTGCGGTCCACAGGGTCCATTAGACTGAGAGTGTCCTTCTTGAGCACCATCATCATATCCTGACCCTGAACACACACACACACACACACGTATGCTTTTAATAGTTACCATGACCTTCTGTGAGAGCTAAGCTAACTGCGCTAAGATGAGGTAATTTAATATAATTCAAACTGGGTCATAAAATAGTGCATAAACCTTATATAACTTGCTAATGGGTAATTTACCAAAATATATACTGGCAACACTCAGCAGAAAATAACAACAGCACACATACTGACAACACTCAGCAGTATGTAACAACAGCACACTAGTACTGCTATTACACCTGTCTAAATTAATCCAACGGACCTCCAAAGACACTGGTGGGCCCCAGCTAAGCACACCTCATCTATTCTAAGTAATGTATGAGCCCAGGCTGTTCTCACCTCTCCCCAGGCACCCACTGCGTCCCGGCCCTCTGCTTTGCTGTGCGAGAGTTGCTGGATGCAGTTGTTCACTGCCAGACTACTTTTACCAGGGGTCAGTTCCTCCTCAGGGATCTCAACCCAGCCCAGCGAGCGCACAGCAAAACACTGAAAGACAAATGCAGAGTTTTTCCTAACAGCACTCATACTTTAGAAACAATATATATGGCAAAAATAAGTTGACACTTGTTGCTAAATCTCCCTAACACTTCTGGGACGACCATCCACTTTAAAAAAAAAAAAAAAAATGTAAGCTGTAATGTATATTGTGATATTTAAAGTCACATTGTGAGATACAGTCGTAATTATAAGAGATAAAGTTGCAACTGTGAAAAATAAAGTCAAATTGTGATATCATAATTATAAGAAATAAATTTGCAACTACAAGAAATAGTCACAAAAACCAGATCTAAAGTCACAACTATAAAAAAATAGTTTCAATTCAGGAAGTAGTCATATTGTGATATTTAAAGTCAACTGTGAAAGTCAACTGTGAAAAGTCCCATTTGTGAAATATGTAGTCACGCAATTACAAGAAATAGTCACGATTACAGGAAATAGTCATATTGTGATATTTAAAACCACAACTGTAAAATATAAAGCTTCAATTATGACATACATATTGTCAGCAAACAGAAGGAGACAACACAGGTAAATGACGGTCTAACAGTTTATTTACAGGCTTCAGGAGAGGAGCAAGCGATGATCACAGGTGAGATAATATAGTAGATAATCTTGAGCAAAGACTTAGCTGAACAGTCACTGAGGTTGCTTTGCAGGGTGAGGCTGAGTCAACATGCTGGGAGGAAGACAGAAGATGATGGCAGATGACTGGGATGGATTCAACAAACAGGTAGGCAGAGCAGGTAAGTAGCCAGGTAAGTTGATGTACGCTAGTGAACAACAATACCAGACACTGAGGTAATGATGGGAAGATGGCTTTAAACTGTGACTTGATTGGTGCTGACAGGTGAAGTGCATCAGAATTCTGGTGTTTGTGAATGAGTGGGCGGAGCTGAAGGATCTGGCATTGCTGGTGACTCTGTGACAGTAAACTGGCTCCAGATGCCCACATGATGCGGCAACGAGGACAGCCATGGCCCTGGGTGCAGGACTGTCAGGATTGAGTGTGGAACTCCGTCAATAGGGCAGGTACAAGGATGTCGTCACCCCTGATCTCTCTTCTGGGATGCATCCTTCCCAGTCAACAAGATATTCCAGACGGCCGCCTTGTTGTGTGTTGTTCCTCTGTAATTCCTGGAGGAGGTGTTAAGTCAGGCTCGCCAGATCCTGTGGGAGGAGAGACCAAAGGGTTAGTGAACGGATTGAGGAGGGAGACGTGAAAGGTAGGTGCAATGCGGTAGTGAGAGGTTAAATCGACTTGATAAGTGACATCATTTATCTGCCTTCTGATGGTGAAGGGATCTATGTAGCAGGGACTCAGCTTATGATTAGGCAGTCGGAGACAGATGTCCCTGATGGAAAGCCAGACCCTTTGACCCGGATGGTACTGGGGAGCATTGGAGTAGTGAGTATCGGCCTGGCTTTTATGTTTCAGAACTGCCTGTTGCAGGTGGACATGTGCTGAATCCCGACCCTCTTGCTCTCCTGGAACCAGTGGTTCACATCTGGAAGGTCCAATGGCTCACCTGACCAGGGAAACAGGGGCGGGTGGAAGCCGAGTATGCACTGGAAAGGTGTCAGGCTGGTAGTACTTTGCCATAGGGAGTTCTGTGCATACACGGCCCAGGGCAGGAAACGGCTCCAGCTGTGCTGGTGGCCATGGCAGTAGGATCTCAGGTATCTCCCAATCTCTTGGATCTTACGCTCAGTCTGACCATTAGTTTGGGGATGATATCCAGATGATAAAATGACAGAAACTCAGAGGAGTTTGAAGAAGTCTTGCCAGACAGAATGTTGAAAGAGGAGTTCTGCGGTCTCGAAGGTGGTGGGTAGTCCTTTCAGAGGTATGAGTTTGCAGGCCTTTGAGTATCTGTCTACGACCATCAGGATGCAGGTATGGGAGTTGGAAGGAGGAAGATCAGTCACAAAATCCACCCTTGTGGCAGGTGTCGGGGAGTCTTGAAGATGGCGCAGACTGAGCAGCTCTTGGGAATTGGGAGAATTCCCAAGCCATGTTGGGCCACCAGTGGCGATTTTGGAGGAGCGAGGGTGTTTGCTGGCTGCCTGGGCGTCCAGAGCCCAGAGATGAATGTACTGAGTCCAGAAGGGTTAGACGTAAGGATGATGGACCTTCCCTTCTGGACCTCTCGGCAGAGCAGTTCCAGAGCGAGTGGCTTACGTGATCTGGTCGTCAAGGGACCACTGGATGGGACACACAATAATGGCTGGAGGGAGGATGGGTTCCGGAGGAGTCCTCGGGGTGATGGAGACAGGAGAGTGCGTCTGCTCTTTGATTCTATGATCTGGGCCGGTAAGTGACTGTAAAGTTGAAGCAGGTGAAGAAAAAAGTCCAGCAGGCTTGTCAGGGGTTGGGACGTTTAACATCGCAAAGATATTCCAGATCACGGTGATCAGTTATTACTTTGAAAGGGTGTTTGGCTCCCACCAGTCAGTGTTGCCACTCCTCTAGTGCAAGCTTGATAATTAGGAGATCCCAGATTCCGATGTCATAGTTTTGCTCCACCGGGGATAGTTTCTTGCAGTAGAAGGCACATGGATGGAGGATGGGAGGATCTCCGTGACATTGGGACAGGACTGCTTCTACCCTGACTGTGGAAGCAACTACTTCGACAATGAAAGGGAGTTGTTGGTCTGGGTGTGCCAGAGTAGAAGCTATGCATAAGGCTTCCTTGAGCTGATGGAGGGCGTTGATGGCATCGGGCATCCAGGATGGAGACTTGGACTTATTCCTGAGGAGTGAGGTGAGAGATGCACAGATCTGGCTGAAGTTGGAGATGAATCGGCGATAGAAATTGGCAAAACCTAGGAAACGCTGGAATTCCTTGGTAGTAGGTTGAGGCCAATCTCTGACAGCTTGTACCTTCCTCTGGTCCATGTGAATGCCATGATGGTCAATGATGTAACCGAGGAATGGGATGGTATCACGGTGGAACTCACACTTCTCCAGTTGAGGTACAGATGGTGCTCTGTCAACTTCTGAAGGACCTGTGTCATGTGGTGGTGATGTTCGGCCAAGTTCCGGGAGTAGATGAGGATGTTGTCAATGTACACAATCACAAAGCGGTGGAGGTACTCTCGGAACACCTCATTCATGAATCCCTGGAAGACCGAGGGTGAGTTGGAGAGGCCATATGACATCACCTGATATTCATAGTGGCCTGATGGTGTTACGAATGTGGTCTTCCATTCATCACCCTTGCGGATTCGAAGATGCAAGCACCACATAGCTGTTCTAGGGTGGCAGGGACCAGAGGAAGTGAATACTGGTAATTGACCGTCTTTTAATTCAGGACCCAGCAATCAATGCAGGGCCTCAAGCCTCCATCCTTCTGACCGATGAAAAAGAAACTGTATGCAGCTGGTGAAGTAGAAGGGCGGATGAACCCGTTTGAGAGCCTCCTCGATGTACTCCTCCATGGCCTTCTGTTCTGGGATGGACAGTGTAAATTCTACCCTTCGGCAGCGTGGCCCCAGGCAGCAAGTCAAATGCACAGTCCCATGGCCTATGAGGTGGTAATTCCGTGGCTGCTTCTGAGGTTTCTGGACTATCAATTGTGGTAGAAAAGATAGCCACCTTCCTTGTCGTGAATGATGGTTGTTATACGGGAGGTGCAGATGATTTCTCAACAGAGGATATACAGTTTTGGATGCAATCATCACTCCATTGTAGGATCTTACCAGTGTTCTACTTCACCTTAGGGGAATGTTCAGTCAACCAAGAGCATTCCAGGATGATGTCGGCAGTTGAACCCTCCAGCACCAGAAAGGAGATGGGCTCTTGATTCAGATAACTGATGCGGAGTGTGATGGTGGGTGAGCAGTACTGGATTTTGCCTTTGCCCAGCGGTTTTGCCAGTATAGTGTGAATGTTTAAAGGTTGAGAACAGGTTTTCCTCTTGAGGTTGAGTTGTCAAAGAAGGTTCAGCGAGATGAAGTTCCCAGCAGATCCCAAGTCGAGCAGGGCTTGCACTGAAATAGATCGCTTGGCAGTGGTTACCAGTACGGTAGTACGAGTTAATGGAGCAATCATGGGTTGTAACTGAAGGATACTCACTGCTGGGCATGGTGGACGGGCAGGACAGGTGCATATCAGATGCCCCGCTGCTCCACAGTACAGACAGAACACGTTATTCATTCTCTGTTGATGCTGTGAGTGAGATGGTAAGAGTCAACTTGCATTGGTTCTGGTGCTGGAGGTGATAGCCACTGGTTGCCACTAGAGTGCGGAATTGCAGTGCGTAGTCACTCACAGTGGATTGGCCTTGGCATAGCCAGAAGAGTTGATCGTTGATGGACAGAACAAAAGGACATAAGCAATCTTAGCTCTCTCACTGGGGAATAGTCGCGGCTGCATGTCGAAGAAGAAATCCGCTGCATTCCTCCACCTCACCAGAGTACGTCGCTAGACGGGCCATGGGACTGGCAGAGGCAGATAGTGAAGGAGTGAAGGAGAGGTGGTGAGAGGTTGAAGGGCTAAGATAAGGGCTAGATAATCTTGAGCAAAGACTTAGCTGAACAGTCACTGAGGTTGCTTTGCAGGGTACGACTGAGTCAACGTGCTGGGAGGAAGACAGAAGATGATGGCAGACGACTGGGATGGATTCGACGAATAGGTAGGTAGAGCAGATAAGTAGCCAGGTAAGTTGATGCATGCTAGTGAACAACAAGAACAGACACTGGGGTGATGATGGGAAGGTGGCTTTATATGGTGACTTGATTGGTGCTGACAGGTGAAATGCATCAGAATTCTGGTGAATGTGAACAAGTGAGCGGAGCTGAAGGATCTGGCGTTGCTGGTGATTCTCTGACCAAATGTGTAGTTATACAATTACAAGAAATAAAGTTGCAATTACAAGAAATAATGCCACAATTGTGAGAAAAGCCACAGCTATAAGAAATACACAATTACAAGAAATGAAGTTATATTGTGATATTTAAAGTCACAACTGTGAAATATAAAGCCTCAACTGTGACATATTTAGTCATGAATTACAAGAAATAAATTTACAATTACAATAAATGAAATCATATTGTGATATTTAATGTCACAACTATGACATATATTGTCAAAATTGTGAGACATGATTTCACAACTATAAGAAATAAAGGGCCAGATTTACTAAAAGCTTGCGCCAGTGCAAACCGTCTTTTGGCGTTAAAATAGTACTGTCAGGATTCACTAAAGATGAGCAGTGAAGAATTAGCGTTGAAAAGGCATGGACACAGTTATTTTTGCACCTGACCTTATTGAATATGCATGTGTAGGAGTTTCCCTTTCAGATGCAAAATTTATGGGAGGAGATTACTGGTAGTTTGGAATTGAGCTCTCATGCTAATTTGCCCTGTTTAGTAAATCTGGCCCAAAGTTTTTGTTTATTAATCTGAATTGGAAATAACCTTCAATACCAAACTCTTTAATTAGACTGGTGGCGTTGCATACATTTGGCCTGCAGTTCATGTTGACATTCTGGACAACATCTATTTAGATGTTTTATATTGTCATACCTAAATATTTCTTAAAAGCATCTGCTAAATGACTACTTGCTTACTATCAAATGTGACTCACAGTACACACATTACAGCAACAAGCTCCTGTAAGCATCCTGGGGTTAAGTGTCTTTCTAAAAGCCTGTTTCCACCGCAGGAACTTTCCCCAGGAACCAGGGACTTTGGGGCAGTACTCGGTGTGTTTCCACCACAGGAACCTGGATCTAAATAAATAAATCCGGATAAAAATGTACTACCTGCTCGCGAGGTAGTACTTTTTCAAATGTCCGGAAATTTCAGGGGGTGGGATTGACTGGTTGAGTTCACGCAGAATTTGGATTGGTTGACTCTACGCAGCATTGTATTTAAACCACCATTTTTAAAAGTCTGTTGTGGTGCAGTGCTGAGGATGAAATCCAGCGGGAACTGGAAACGGTGACAAAAAAAAAATATGATTGTCCGTCGCTTTGTATGATTATGTTATCATTGTTCGACATTAGCACCCCCTCCTGAACTGGGAGGAGCAATCGCGCGCAGTCCTACGTCACCAGACTATTTGCCTAACCTTCACGGTACTTTAGGCCGTGATGGAAACGCAGACAGCAACAGGTCTGGGGATAAAAAGTTCCCGGGACAAATTGTTCCAGGTAATTTCAGTGTAATAGCGGCTTAAGAGGCACACTGATGATTGTCCATTACTCACTCCTAGGAATCAAACCAGCAAGCTAACGTTTACCAGCCTGGTGACTGATGAAAGTCAAAATATTTTGTACAGAGTATATATATATGACCCAGCCTATAAGGATCATTTTACACAGACTCAATAAAGCTGAGTCTTAAAATTGCATCTCTTGTGCTTTAAGAGGTCATTGCCCTCCACCCCCACCCTCTATATACACTCCACCAACACACACGCACATATACACCCTACTGCATCACTAAACATGCCCTGATTGATGCTCCTTTCCAACTCTGACCTTTCACCCTCAGTGGTTACCTCATGATGTGCTCTGATTTTTGTGGGGCACAGTGACTAATAGCAGAGAAAACAGTAATACATTTTACATGTTGAACTGTATTAGGGCATCACACAGCAAGATTCTACCTTGGAGTCGGGATCCATGTTGACACAGAAATTCTCTTCCTGCCATGAGGGCCTGAATCAGAGCAAGAGAGCACATCATTATGATAATGACTCATAATTAAATACTGGGCTCATTTGAACAGAAAAAAAAGGAATACAAATTAAGCATTGAGATGCTGAACACTTGGTTATTTTTCTGTTTGGTGTTCTATTGAAAGCACTTTCATCTATGCTCTAGAAAAGGCTATTCAGACCGCTGGGGTAGTTTGTCCTGTAAACAAGAAACAGCTCCTATAATTATCACTCTCAGCTTTGTGCATAGATTCTTATGAACAAGTCACAGCATTTTGAGCGTACTTCCTTCCTGTAATGAACAGTGGTCTCGCAAAGGAAAATGATGTAGTATAGAACTATAAAATGAAAAGCCCTTGACTGGGTCTTTGTCTCAACAAAACAAAATAAAATAAAATAAAATAAAAATGGATAATTACATTCAACAGAATATTATTTAAAAAATTAGTATTTGAGTACAGTTATTGATATTGTTGATTTATTCTGGAAGTCTGGAGGGCACACTTTCAACTTTCCACACTTTCTTCATCTCATGAGAAACAAATAATAATAAAATAAATTAAAATAAATGAACATTTATTAAAGCTATATAATACATTAAACACATTACGCTAAATGTTTAATTTAACTGAATTTTAAGTGAAAAATAAATTATTCACCTTTATTCTGCTCAAGTACACAAACAGTGCTCTTTAACATATACTGAGGACAGAAACTTAATACACCAGAATCTAATGTTGCCCTCTGCCGTGTTACACTGCCTCAAGGTGCTGACAAAATAAATGAAGGTAATTGCATTGCCTGTTGCTGTCAATAATTCCCAAACAACTTAGCAGCAGCCAATCTCAGCTCTCCAAACAAATTCAGTAGAAAGGTCAGTCAATGACAAACCTGACACTTAATAAAGGCATGTTCCAGCCTGTTAAATGAATGTGTGTACAGTATTTTGTCCTTCATTGGCAAAGACCCTATTTAGCACCACAAAGTGGAGAGAAACTCTTCTTATTGTTCTTATTGTCAATTCCCCAGGTGAGTGCTCACTTTTGTTCGAGCATTAGTGTGACTGGGGCCTCATGGCCTGGTATCAGACTGTTTGGAGGTTAGCCAAAGACAAAACGGCCTATTTTACTCTCCATCTCACAGTTGTACAGGCCACACCTGACTGGCTGTCTAAAGCAGGGCCGCTTTTGTCATTTCCACTAGCAGCCAGCGGAACCGACATCTGTTCACACAACTCCAGGTGGGTAATATCATTTTGAGGAATAAGAATGTGTTGGTTCAATTAAATGTCTACTGGCTTCATTAGAGGACAAAACAAATGGGAAAACAGAGAGAAAAGTTTTTTTTCTTTTCATTTCCAGAGCACCAGACGGATAATTTGGCCTAGCTTATGTTTGTTTCTGGCTGCTAAGCTGTGCCAGAGTTTTATTTGCATCAAGGATGCAAATTGACATAGTCCATGGCTAATGTGTTACTACACCCAGCACATTGAATCAATTGCAACAAATTAGTTGGCGACACATTTTACCAAATAATTTCGTGGCTGTGGACACATTTTAACAAATTATTCAGTAGTATAAAAATAACTTCTGGTAAAGACATGTCCTTAATGCATGGGTGTCAGAAGCAACAAAAATGTGGGTGGGTCCAACATAGTGTAAGTGTAACTGTAAATCAATGCTGCTACAAAGACTATATGATTTGACTGACGGCGCTCTGAAAAGTGAACAGGTATATGCAATGAATTAGAGACGGTAAAAGTGAGTGGGTCCAATATCATTGGTCTTAAAAAGTGGGTGGGTCTTGACCCACCCACATTAAATGGTTCCAATGCCCATGCCCTAATGTCTTCCATAAAATGTATGCAGATACAGTGGTGTGAAAAAGTGTTGGCCCCCTTCTTAATTTCTTATTTTTTTGCATGTTTGTCACACTTTAATGTTTCAGATCATCAAACAAATTTAAATATTAGTAAAAGATAACACAAGTGAACACAACATGCAGTTTTTAAGTTTTATGGGTTTGCGCTCTCACTCTAATTTTCTCTGTTTAGTAAATCTAGCCCTAGAAATAAAATAAATAAATATATAAATAAACAATCATGGATATCTCATCTCATTGGTTATTGATATTTTTTAAATAAAATAAAAGATGTCTGTTGTAGCACTCAACAGTCTCTTTGTTCTCACATAATAAAATATTTTAACTAAAAGTCAAGATGCAGTGTAATAAGTGGAATGTTTTACAGCCATTCATTATCCTGAAACAACATTCCAATCATACAACCATTTCTATTGAACTGAACTCTTACAATTAGAGGAAAATTGCTGATAACAAGCCCATAATCCTAATCCTATAAAAAGGATTTTATTCCAACAAGGATGTTAAAGGGTTAGTTCACCCAAAAATGAAAATTAGGTTTTATTTCACTTCTTTTGGACTGAAGCACTGCAACACCCGCTGACTGCAATGATAGAGCTTGGAATAGCCAGGATAATTTTTTATCTAACTCCGACTGGATTCGTCTGAAAGAAGAAAGTCATATACACCTAGGATGGCTCTGGGGTGAGTATAACACAGCCTAATTTTCATTTTTGGGTGAACTAACCCTTTAACTAAGAACATTTCCAACTTGGTTAAATCGCATTAAGCTTCACACACTTTGCTTTACAAGCTTTAATGTCTAGTTTCAGAGATATATCTGCAGCCTGTCCTCAGCTGTACAGTCACCCAGCGCAGGTGTGATTCGCTCACCTTTCACTCAGAGAGGGCAGAGGGTTTTCAGTCAGTCTGCCTCCTGATTCCCGCCTGCCATCTGCTGCAGTCTGAAGAAGTCAAGAGTAAAGGGACAGCTAACAAAAACATTCACAAAGCCACATGAACACACACACACATTTGTGGTTTACGGGGACTCTCCATAAGCGTAATGGTTTTTATACTGTACAAACTGTATTTTCTATCGCCCTACACCTAAACCTACCCCTTACAGAAAACTACTGGCAATTTTTTAATTTCATAAAACACCATTTTGTATGTTTTTTAAGCCTTTTGTTTAACGGGGACACAGGAAGTGTCCTCATAAACCATGTTTACGTTGTAGTACCCATGTCATTATACACATTTGTGTCCTCATAAACCATATATATCATATATATATATTGCTTGGTTGGAACAGCAGCAATGCTAATTATGTCTCTATTTGAGTTGCTTTGCAATGATTTGTATCGTGAAAAGCGCTGTACAAATAAACTTGATACTTGAATTGAATATAACAGTACACACACACACACACAAATAGATCAGAGTATCTCACCTTGATCTGGCTGGAAGTGATGCCATTAATGGCATTTTGTTCCTCCTCTGTGCTGTAGGAGGGATGCTGCCACTGGGTGGTGCCTGTGGGCACGTGCCAGTAATAGGTGCCAGTGCTGTCACGTATAGTGCGCCATCCTGGAGGCAGATCTGAGTCCAGCTCCAGACTCTGATCGTTCCAGATGTTATCTGCACAGAGATTGAATTTCTGGATTAATCTGCATCTTAAATGATATGCTATTAGGATTGCACATGCATGCTAACTTGAGGACAGCACACACAGATTATTGTAAAAGTGCTATATTACAATTCCCACCAAGTAACACAGAGCCAGCAGCCTTTACACACACACACACACACTAAGATTCAATGAGGCATACACACCCCGAGGTGCAGTCACCGTGCTCAGATCTACTCGTGAGAGACAGACCAGGCCCTAATCTGCCCACATGACATACAGCCTAAAATGAGATCAAAACTAAAAGCATCTCTCTCTTATTAAAAAAGGGCTGGACTAATTTTCATTTCCATTATCTTCTCCCTGTCTTTCAGACATTTCATACAGTTTTGGTCAAATTTTACATACACCTTGCAGAATCTGCAAAATGTTAATTATTTTACTAAGAGGGATCATACAAAATATGTGTTATTTCTTATTTAGTACTGGCCTGAATATGATATTTTACATAAAATATGTTTACATATTGTCCACAAAACAAAATAATAGCTGATTTTATAAAATGTTATATTACCCCGTTCAAAAGTTTACATATGCTTGATGATTTTTGTTTTGTGATGGTTGTTTATGAATCCCTTTATTCTTCAGAAAAATCCTCTAGGTCCCACAGATTCTTTGGTTTTCCAGGTTCTTTTGCGTATTTGAACCCTTTCCATCAGTGACTGTATAATTGTATAATGAGACTGTATAATGAAATCCATCTTTTCATCAGTTGTGGTGACCAGAAATTCACATTAAAAGATACGGTGAGAATGCTTTAGAAATTATCAGACAGACTTTTGTTGTCTGTATATTTTAAGAGTTATAATAACCATGATGAATCAGAGTTTAGCCACACAGTCCACAAATTGTTTACAAAATTTTATCTGTACATTATATAGCTCATTATTAGTAAATTATATAATTTATAATTTTTACTTAAAAAAAAACGTACATTTTACAGTGCTGTACAGTAAATTTACATTTACATGCAATTTTAAACCTTCTAGATTTTTTCACTTTATATGGTAAGATAGCTTACAACCAATTGGCAGGTTTTTACTGTAGCATTTTCAAATTATTTTCCTGTTAAAATAACAAAAGTTTTTACAGCTTTTATGTGTGTCAAAGTGATCTTGTCACGTTTCCTGATGATTTAGTGCTTCAGGCATAGGGCTACTGGCAGAACTGCAAGCAGGAAAGAGCAGCTGTGTCTGCTGAATTATATTTGCCTGAATTTATCTCTAGCCTGAGAGAATCATTTAACACAATGCATCTGGAGATTTCTGTCCACTCTCACAAATAACACAATGCAGAGGGCTGGAGGGGATGTTTGGGGGAGAAAACAACACTGTAAATGTGTGTGTGCAGTACTAGAACTGGGTCAGCAGTGACACGAGATTGCTTGGACACGAGTAAGAGTTGCCTCTGGCATTCAATGACACAGCAAGACAGAAAGAGAGTCTCATACTGACATTTCACAAATGTAATTTGCCTTATGAAAGCTGGAGGGGATGTTTGGGGGAGAAAACAACACTGTAAATGTGTGTGTGCAGTACTAGAACTGGGTCAGCAGTGACACGAGATTGCTTGGACACGAGTAAGAGTTGCCTCTGGCATTCAATGACAGCAAGACAGAAAGAGAGTCTCATACTGACATTTCACAAATGTAATTTGCACATGAATTTTCATGTGCTGCCTTTAAAAAACTTACATTTTAATTGTTAATTTGTTGCAGAAACTATTGTGTTTACTATACACAGGTCAGGATAGTTTTATGCACACACATCAGTGTATGAGTGACACACCCACACCCATACATGTATATATATTTTACAATTATTAAAAGCTACATCTGTTTTTCAATTTATAAATAAACTTGCTATTTTAAAGGCGTTTCTCTGACAAAGGGTCTCCATCATTTACTGTAAATGACATTCTGGCTACACTGTAAATGCAAACATAAATAAATTTAAAAATTATAAAAAAGATATAACATTTTATCAATAAATTGGTCTTTTAGTAACAGATACTAAGAAATGTATATTACTCTGAATCTACATAACAATATTCCTCCAAATTTAGCCTAAAGGTGCAGTCACATTTACCAATGTTATGTGAATTCTGTGAATTTATTAAAATTTTTTGGTGAACATTTCAGTCAGAATCCTCATGGTCAGGAATTCTGTGTGAGGGCAAAAGATCTTCCCACTTAGATTTCACATCGGGTTCAGTTGGTCATGCGAATTTGGCAAGTTGACCAACAGAAAGCTTCTTGATTTGAAACTGTATATCGCTACAATATTGTCAATAGACATTATACCCTTTGTGCAAGTGACTGTCTTTATGAATGGGTAATCATGAATCACTGACTCACTAGATTCGTTTAAAAACCCTCCGTTCATTCATAAACTAAACACCGCTGTGTTTGAATGGAGATGCGCTGTGTCTTTGTTTTAAACTATTTTCGACGGCGAAATAGAACAAAATCAGACAATAGTGTTATAGTCAGACAATGTAAGTCACTTAATATTAACTTCTTGTTTATTGAATTGTATTGTATTAAATCAGTATCACATTTACAAACTCCCTTAAAAATCATTAAAGGGGTCATCGGATGCCCATTTTCCACAAGTTGATATGATTCTTTAGGGTCTTAATGAAAAGTCTGTAACATAGTTTGGTTCAAATTTCTCAATGGTAGTGTAAAAAACACCTTTTTACCCTGTCAAAAACAGCTCTTTTCAGAGTAAGCCGTTTTGTAGCATTTTCCTTTAAATGTTAATGAGCTCTGCTGACCCCGCCCCTCTCTTCCGAGCTGCTCTCTGAGGGACTGTTACTTGCTGAAACTTGCTAATTAGCATATTATTATGAAAGTCGATTTGCAAAGATTCATTACAAAACATTATACTCACTTCTTCTGTAGATGAGGCTGGATCACGAATGATTCACTCAAACATAGACGCATTTATGTAGATCAGGGCGCATTCCCTTCAGAAACAATGTAATCCACTGCGAGTTCAGCGGCTCAGATGTCGGGAGTAAATGACGACTGCTATGTTCGTTCATTATTACATCCAACAACAGAACACCTCAATCGCTTAGGAGTCATTCTTGTCTACATCTGCTCCGGCAGTGAAACAATGGCGGACTG